ATCAAGAGAATGCGCCATCATGCGAAATCAAAACTTATGTCGTGTGCATTACAAGACGACGAGGGACCACGGCTCTGCCTTGAAAAAATAAAATACACGTCGTAGTGTTATTACACTTCCTGAAAGGGTATTTAACACAAATAAAAAGAGCTTCGTTACACATTTGTTTTGCTCGGTGTTACGTGTGTATGCATGGGGGTGAGTGTGTGTGTGCGATTGTTTGTGGATGTGTGACGTGCTTTGTGGTCTCTCTGTTGTATACACGTTTTTAACACCCTGAAGCCCCCCCTGACGTCTTTTAAAGTTTTCTTTTGCCTCGCCGGCGCTGTCGAGCCCTGTGCGTGTGCGAACATTTATGGCAGCTTGTAAATAATATTGTCTAACATTTTGCGGCTGCAACTAAGTAAATAAATGAATTGGCACTCCACCTCTGCCCTGCGTCGTGGCCCCATCATCCTCCCTCCAGCCTGGCTATCTATATATGTAACTACCTATCCTGCTCACACACACAGACACATTCTATTGAGAGCTATAAATCGCGAGCGTTGTGTGTGTTTAGTGTGTATTGTGCGGGGCCCATCTAACTACCGGTTATCGCGGCTTTTGTTGTGGGGCCTGGGGACCCGCGGGACCCTCCGACTGGCGATTGCGCGACCGCAACGGAGTAAGGTTTATCGTCAATATATGTACATATATATGTATGTTTGTTTGTCCCCCTGCCCTGCTCTGCTCCTCCAGCGCATCATTATCATCAAACTACATCGGTTCCCATCTCGCAATAAATACATTTCGGGCTTTTAGCAGTCCATAACAAAAGTTAAATAAAAGAAGCCGCTAAGTTTTTTTTTATTTTGTGTTAGCGTGTCTGCGTCTGGATCGCTCTTGTTTTTTCTTTCTGTTTCATTGAGCGTTGCCAAAACTGGATTCGAAGCACCTCCGAACTCCGAACCGCGAATTTCGAACCTAATGAGATTTTTTTTTCGTCGTCGCTTGACAAGGGTTCTCATTGATGGATTGTCGTTTAGTTCGTTATTGATTTCGTTAATTTCCATGGTGGTGTGCCGATGGTGGGTTTTAAAATAATGAAAAAGCTTTACTGCTGGACATCTGCCGTATTCGAACTGTATTTCTGAATACCAATCTAGGTAATTATTTGTTCTAGTAGCTCTTATACTGAAACCATGTGCGTTGTACACCTATGACTGTAGTATAAGAGTTTCTCTGTTAATGTTCAAGAGTTACTGTATAAGAGAGTTCTGCTCTCTTTATCTACTATTACTGTTTGCTGGAATTGCGATGGCACGAAAAGTTTTTTGTATTAATAATAATAATTGCTGCCGGTCAATTTTAATGATCTTCAAATATACTTATTTATATTTATTATTTAAATGTAGAAATAATCTTCTTTCGCTTGGTAATCTCCAGGGGCTTAGTATTTTGTACCGACCCCAGGGAGAATCGCACATCCAATTCTTAATATCAAAATCGTGCTCGGCCTTTTTTCTCAGTGTATTGTATGGTACGCATGTGGCTCTCTGAGATCGCGCCGTGCGAAAGATAAGCTCTCCCCAGAGTTGCCGAATTTTGGAACTGGAATGGAGTGGAAACGACTGGGAATTGGAACGGCAACAGTTCATGATTCCACCCCAGTGACGACACTCGCGGCCACCTAACACATATTTCACGCTGAAGGGAATTCCTTGTGCTCCCCAAGGGGCAGGTGGCTAGGACGCACTCACCCGTACACATTTTCGTACATGTATTTTGTTTGGGCAATTTTAATTATTGCCCCCACGCATGGGTATTTTCGTTGATAATACCCCTGGGTCTGGGCTGTGGCCCATCCCTCTAATTATTTATTTGGGGGCTATGAATGGAGTTCCCTTTTTGCCAAAAATTTGCATAATTATGCCATTAGCCGACATTTCATAATAACGAATGGTCTTCTGCTTATTCGTGCTGTAGTCTATTCTTATATGGGTTTTTTTACTATTTCCAGAAATATTCCTGATAAACAGCTAGAACAAAAACTAGACTAAACGTTGGCTGGCTTTTCCACGGAATCATTAGAACGCTATTTAAAATTTGAAAAACTGACCCGATAAGGGCAGGGCCTGACTGTTCGACTAGCTTTCCACCTAATCCTCGGGCGCAATCTTTCACGGCAACTGATTCATCAACCTGCCTGCCTGCTGCCAGCCCGAGTGTTGGCCAACAAGGGCAGATGGCCCGCTTATCAAAATGCAGAGTGAAGTATATATAATACTCGTAGGCCAAATTTCCAGCAAACTTCGATTATTCTAACTACTTCGGGGTAATTTTCATATCAATTCATAAAGTGTAGTACAACTCTTGCTCCTCCTTCCACATGGGGTCTTATCATGACCAACATAAAAGCACAGAGTCCCCTATTGAGATCTTCAGTTGTGTTCCTTCGATTGATCGCTAAAGGCGCTGGGTAAAAACTATTTCATTCAAGAAATATCACATTTACGGCGTCAGCTCTCTCTCTCCCTGTGTGCGTGTGCGTGTGTGTTGTGTGTGTTTTGATTTGAAAACGATCCTATATTTGTTTATAAACAAACTGTTTTTCATGCTGCCACCTGACAGCAGCCAGGCTAGACGGAAGGGCTGCTCAAATAACGCCAAAAGGTGGGGCATCAGCTAGGGAAAGGGAATTCGCTTGAAGAAAAGCGGAGCCCGTCGATACGCCCACAGTTTTCTCAGTTGTTTGTTGTTTATTTTTCTGAATTGTTGCCTTGTTAACCTTAACATTTGTGCGACTACCGCTGCTGTCGCTGTTGCTGCATCGATCTCTCGTTTCATTAGACAGCAATCAAAATTATTGCTGATAGCAAGAGCGGAAAAGTACTGCCAAACCGGAGGGGGAGGCCATCCATTGAAGGGAAAACTTTGTACCAACTTTAGCCCGTGGCTTCTTTCCGACTGACTTGGCATATTAGACGGCCAAGAAAACCTTGAACTACTTTGGTTTTTCGAGTCCGAAGGGCAGGCAGCAGCAGCCAGCAAATTTATGAATAGAAAGAAACCTGTGTGTGGTGGAGAGATACTATCGCCTGTCTCGGCGACTACCTAAGGCCTGGACTGGAACTGGAATTGGAATTGGAACTGGGACTGGGACTGGGACTCGTCTCGCTCTCTCGTGTTCTTTTTTGGGATCATCGTTAAGTGAGCCGCACATCCGATTTCTGTTGTTCCTTGGGCCGCCGAGGCACACAGGTAGTATCGCTTCAAAAAGGCACGACCTGTTTTCATTTTTCTTTACTTATTTTTCTGATTTCTGGTTTTCTTGTTTTCTTGTTGTAGGTTTTTGTCCCTTTTGTTTGGGCTGCACTTTCGACTGTTTTTCGGGCTGTGTTTCCAGTCATTAGATCCTTATCTAATTTCGCTGCTGCTTCTGAGCTGCTCTTTTCGACTGGTTTTGGCTCGTTCCATCTCTTGTTTTCTCTGCTCTCTGCTCACAGTTCTCTCCCGGAATGACCGGCCATTCATATTTGCTACGTGATCCCAGCGAGCGTCGTTCTGTTGTTGGCCTTTTTTCCGGGTAACTACAGAAATTAGCGTATCGACCACAAAAGCAAACACGCTTTGCAGTCCCTGGCATTGGCATTGGCATTGGCTTTGGCTCGGGGCTTAGGGTTTGGGTCACGTTTTGACGACAAACAACAGTCCAGAGAGGGGAGCGAGAGGCCGTTCATGCCAGGTCCTGCCGGCCCCTTATCAGCGCTATTTAGCATGGCTATAAAGAATCATATTCCCCATAGATCCGACCTGTCGCCTGTCTGGTGCAATTTCGTTTCACACCTGTTGGGCCGCTCGCCCATCGTCTAGAGTTCTACCCGACGAATCGGTTGCTCTCGTCTCTCGTCTTTCGTCTCTCGTTCTGTTTCTGTTTTTACTCGTATTTTTATTTGTTTGCTTTCCCACTGGCGTGCGAGTTGTTTGTTCTACGCTTTGCCATATTGCTATTGCCCATTGAGGTTGTTTTTTGTGTGTTTTTTTCTGCTATGGTAATTAGAGGCTTGTAGCCTGGTAGAACCCTAAAACCTGGGTTTATGCGCCAACATAAATTCTGTGCTTTACAGCTCCCATAAACGATGATGATGTTCTACGGCTAGATGTCCTTCTATAAATATTTATATTTTACTCTGTTCTTTATTCCGTTTTCATTATCAAATTAAGGATATTTTTCTTTAATAAATAATGCCTCAATTATGATAATTTCTTCGGAAACATTATATGAAATATGCTTATTCTTTGTACTTCGGGTTTATCTTATGAAATATTCGTTGCATCTAGAGTTTTTCCTTAACGGTAAACGGTAAAACTCCAAACTCAAAACTTCCAAGACTTCTCTTGGACCTTTCCTTCTCACTCGCACTCAGAAACACCAAGGACCGCAATCGTCTCTCCTCTCTGAGCGAAAGCATCCTCTCCCACCACGTACTCTCTCGAGTGCAGTACACAATGACAAGCCACACATTTCCCTCTCTCTCTCTCTCTCTCTCTTTCTCTCTTGCACTAAGTTCTTTTATTGCCTCGCTTTTATGGTACTCCCTGAGCGAGAGTACTCTCTCTCAATCACTCAGAGGAGTACAGAAATATAGGTTAGGTTAGGTTACTGTCCAGAAAAGTAACGGGGACAAAAGCACAGGCCGCAGAAGATCATACATTGAGAACAATTTGATAGTCAGTTGATGCACAGGCAAATGGCAAATTCACTGATAATAATCAATATATGGGTTAGTAAATTCACAAACCGCATAGACCCATTGATCTCTGACCCACTAATCCGGACATCAAACATAATAAACATCAGTCTCATTACGTCCCCACATTATTCAATTTGTTGCGCGCAATAGCACTTAAAATATTATATATGTACAATATAGTATATTGGTTGCATGGGATACAATCATCTTTGGCTAAAATCTCGCACTTATCACAAAAAAATGTACCATATGCTTGTGTATTTATAGTTTCCTTAGCAATTCTAAATCAATCGAAAGCGAAAACGAATACCAAAATCCAAACAGAGCGCAGATATCATTTGCATGTAACGATTGCATTTTATGGACGACTCAGATTCATTTGCTTGTTGGAAGTCAGCCGGACGTTGAGCGAGCAACTGAAAACAGATCACAATATACCCAAAATATCCATTCAGCTGTGTCCCAGCTAAACAAAAAGCATCCACACACTCATCCCACAAATCGAATCGAATAAGAATCAAATCATCAATAGAGAGAGAGATAGAACATCGGGTAGGAGCATGAGCCTGTGGAAGCGCATCTCCAGCCATGCCGACTGCGAGGCTCGTATGGCAGCCTACTACGATGAGAAGGGTCTCTTCGACCTGCGTCTCTGCTTGGCGGCCTGGATCGAAGACAGAATAATGTGAGTAGATCATAACGTGGGGGTGGCTGGCAGCAGTTGATGTCGGGATGTGGGCGGGCATTGATCAGATCTAGAATTAGAAAACTGCTTCATTTATAATTCAAATAATAATAGTCCCACCCCTCCTCATACAGGTCCGAACAGATCACACCAAACTCTGCGGAACAACTGGAGCGCGTGGCCCTCAAGTTCAACGAGGATCTGCAACAGAAGCTACTCTCGACGCGCACGGCCAGCGATCAGGCACTCAAGTACCGAGTTGTAGAGCTTTGCACCCAAATCCAGCGCACATCTGCCCTCGAGCTGTACACGCATTTGCGCGGCGGATTACAAAAGGAGCTGCAGCTAGCGACGGAGAAGAGTGTGGCTACACCAGGTCCATCGATGCCCCTCAGTCCCTACAACATGAACAATCCATCCGGCTACATGGATCCCAGTGAACTGATGGCCGTTCAGCCAGCGGTTGGCGCCGGTTTGGGAGTCATTCACAATGCGCTAGGCACGGCAAAGGTGGAGCTGTTCGAGATCGAGCATCAGATACTGCAGTACTTTAATGAATTCAGCACCTGCGGCAACTCCCTGAAGATGCTCGTCCAGAACTACAGCTACATGCTGAACTCCACAGGATCCCCAAATCCCGAGGAGGCGTTCAAATGCCTGATGACGGAGAAGGCGGCCATTGTGACGACCCTATGCCGGAGCTATATATGCTACGAGCCGCTGCAGGAGCTGATTATCAGCGAACTGAATAACTGGCGCCGTCAACAGGCGCTGGCCGGCAATGGGGCCCCTTTCCAAGAGAGCACTCTTGATCAGATTCAGCGTTGCTTCGAGCTACTCGAATCCTTTATTGGCCACCTCCTGGCGGCCGTCAAAGAGACGCTTCGTGTGCATCTCGTCAACGACGAGCCAGAACTGAACAATCTGCTCGAGCGTGTGAGAGGTGCACAAAAGAATCTGGTGTGCGCCGCCTTCATTGTGGACAAACAGCCGCCACAGGTGATGAAGACAAATACGCGCTTTGCGGCCTCTGTCCGCTGGCTGATCGGCTCCCAATTGGGGATACACAATAATCCGCCCACCATTGAGTGCATCATCATGTCGGGTAAGCGTCCCCATAGAGATATCTACCGGCATTTACTAATCATTCCCTCCCACTCCCTCCCCGTTTGCAGAGAACCAGGCAAATCGTTTCGTTACCCGCGGCACCCAAATGGACAGCACCCTGGCTGGTCAGTCTTCGGGGGAAATACAGAACTGCTCCAGCACCATGGAATACCAACAGAATAACCACATCTTCTCGGCCAGCTTCAGGAACATGCAGCTGAAGAAGATCAAGCGGGCCGAAAAGAAGGGCACCGAGAGCGTCATGGACGAGAAGTTTGCCCTGTTCTTCTATGCGACGACCACAGTCAACGACTACCAGATTCGGGTGTGGACCCTGTCGTTGCCGGTGGTGGTGATTGTTCATGGCAACCAGGAGCCACAGTCGTGGGCCACCATCACCTGGGACAATGCCTTTGCGGATATTGTACGGGAACCATTTGCGATCACCGATCGCGTGACCTGGGCCCAGCTCTCGGTGGCGCTTAATACCAAATTTGGGTCAAGCACACAGCGGGCCCTGACCAGGGATAACCTGGACTTTCTCTGTGAGTCCAGATTTTTTGGTTCCGTTCGTCAGTTTTGTTACTGATATATTTCTCTTCCTCTTCCTGTTTCAGTTGAGAAGCTGCAACGCGATGAGCGTAGTGATTATATCACGTGGAATCAGTTCTGCAAGGAGCCGCTGCCCGATCGCAACTTCACCTTTTGGGAATGGTTCTTTGCCATCATGAAACTCACCAAAGACCATCTGATGGGCATGTGGAAGGCCAGCTGCATTATGGGCTTCATCAACAAGGCCAAGGCGCAGGATGATCTCATGCGTTCGGCCACGGGCATTGGCACCTTTCTGTTGCGCTTTTCCGACAGCGAATTGGGTTGGATCAGTTGATTGATGTATGCAGATAGATGGATATTAATGTGTGATCCTTTATTGCAGGTGGCGTTACCATTGCCTATGTGAATGAATACGGATCGGTTACCATGCTTTCGCCATGGACTGCGCGTGATTTTCAGATCCTCAACCTGGCCGATCGCATACGCGACTTGCATATGCTGCGCTGGCTACATCCGAGCGACACCAATGGAGTGCCCCAGGAACGGGATCGCGCATTTGGCGAGTTCTACTCAGCTCGTGATGGTACGAATGGTATATGATTTCCCCCTCGAATCGAGTAAATACGGGTTTTGTTTGCTAATTGAAATTTGAATTTTGATAGAACCCAAAGCCGGCTATGTGAGAAGCACGTTACACGTCCAGGTACGCAATGCGATTGGAGATAATGGTTCCATTATTGGGACACCACAGCATCCCATACCATCTCCACCGCAGGATAGTAGCATGTCAATGGGAAAGTAAGTTTCGATGCATGACCGATGCCCCAGGCACACACAGCTAACATGCATCTCTGCAACACCGCAACAAGAATATTGTACTATAATGTGATATGACTCCCCCTCTGCCCCCCAGAAAAAAAAAATGATTAAAACTTAACAGCTCCGCACGAAGACCCTTGGTCTTTGGTCTTTCCTTAAATTTTATTTGCTTTGCTTTTGCGTTGTTTTGTTTATGATTTTGTCAAAAGTTTTACTAAGATTGCAATACTTTGAATTCGAGAAAAAAGAAAGGGGAGGAGACTCTGCCTGACTAACCGAGCGCCTACCAGGAAATTTGTAAATTAAACTGATATGATTGAACCCCACAATGGGCTATTTGTAGAGCTCTCAATCCCCAAACCACAGCCCGTTCCCCAATTTATTTAAGTTAATTACAACACAGCCCCACTTATTGTACGATTTGTTTATTTTCATTCTCCAATTGTATACCATCGGTTGATTTTTTGGGTGTTCTGTTGGTGTACCACAGCCCTGAGGACTCTGATTCGGATGATAGCTGTGTGTTAGATGCCATAGAGAGATATGTGGCGGACACATCACCCGATGATCCCGTATCCCGTGAGATCATTGCCACCATTATGAGTGCAACGTGTAAATCCCCACTTTCCTCGAGGTATAACTATTTAAGTATGATATTCCGCATCCAAAGATCACTCTCCTCGATCAGATTCCACCCAAAACCTCTTCAGCCGACTGCTGTATGCTGTTCGCTGAGCTGCTCTCTCTTCATCTGATTGATTCGCCGAGACGCTGATTCCGACCCCTCAATAAATCGTTCGATCCATCAGCTCATGCTCATTCCAACCAACACCACCATATTATCAGACGCACTCGACTCCCGTCACGTCACGTCACGCCACGCAACGCCACGCTAACCCCTCGCATTCATCGTATCAGATCCGTTTCAGATGCCCTGCGCCCCCCAAAAAACCGTATTAACAATAGCCATTTAGCTGGTCGCTAGCTCAGTATATAAGAGATATACATATGTCGAATATAAGCTCAAATTGTATGCATTGTTTATGTTTTTATAGTCTTTTTGTTTTTTCAAAGTATTGCCATCTTTTTAGACTTTTTCAGCCGCGAATTGATCAAAACGCCTAGTCAAGCAATAATTGGCTTTAACAAATAAATGATTTTCCTCTAACCATTCTTCCATTCTCCTTTTTCTATATATTTTGGCTATGAACGCAGCTTGCAGAATAGCACCATCATGCACCTGTAAATCTGAGATCTCTAGGCTGAAACCAGCAACCAACGAAGCAGCATAACAAATTAATTTTTAATATTAAGAATATTAAGGGACATGCAGTCCAACGAAATTGCGATTGGCTATAATTGAATTGAATTTAATTTTCTTGCATGCATTTTTCGAACTAATTGTCCGTTTGCCTGCTAGATAAATTGATTGATTGCTTGCTTGTTGCTGTTGTCATTTTTTGATCGAAATGTTATTGTTGTTTAAACAAATTTTTGGAAAAAAGAGATACTTTTAGGGACACAAACATTCCATTTGCTTTCTCTGCCATACCCCATATCTATCCATTTTTGCCACAAAGAAACTAACCCACATAAACCCCTTTCATTTTCCACTAACCACTCCTACCATTTGCACGATATTTTCCAACATATTTATTTTTCATTATTAATGTTTATTTTTCTTTCCTTCTAATTTTTATCCACAAAAATCGCTATATATTTTAGTTCCGGTGACTTTGCAATGACGGATTTCGATTCGATGACGAACTTTGTCGATGTGTATAAACAGATTATATAAACAATTGAAAGTGTGCCGTGTGGATGCCCTCCCCCCCGACCTAGACGATATAGATATGCCCCCTTCCCCCCAGCAGCGATTGCAGCCATCGTGGAACTGCTTTTTAAAAAAGTTTTTATCGTAAAGTTTTTACCTAAAATGTAATTGTAAGATTTTGGGAATGCATCGTTGTGGCATGTTTAGTTTTGGTATGTATTCGAACTCTATTTATTTCGTACCCATTATCCACACCTTAAAAGTATTATACAGTACACATTATAGTAGTTGTATTTTTGCTCAGAGAAAATTATACAAAAGACAACGAACGAAGAAACGCATCGAGTCTTAGGTAAAATATACATTAATAATCGTTATACAGAGTGCGGAAAATGTTAAAAAACAATAAGCTATTTATTATGCTAATATTCAAATATTAAATGTTTGTTGTTAAATGTATTTGAAAAGTTAATTGCCGTTTCACGCTATACATAATTAAACGAGTTCTCGTTTTGCATCGAAGGATGGACTCGCGGATGGTACTACGCCTGGTTTCACTGGTCAAGGATCCGATTAGCATTGTAAGACTAGATAGACGTAAATACAGGGAATGGAACGAATTACGAATTTACATAAAGAATTATTTCAGTTTACATACAGATTATAGGTATATTTATAAATATGTGTACAACAATTACACTCGTGTACCTATCGCCTAAAATTAAAGAATAGCGCATTGCCTTTAGTTTCCTTTTCCTTCGGTTAATCAAACACTATGTTAATCGATTCTATTCTGTTCTTGCAGCATTTGTGAAACGACAAACAACTCTACCAAGAGCAATGCATGCAAATTGCCACCACACCCTAAACACAAAATAAAAAACACCTGCAGCACACAGCAGCCAATTAATTGTATCTATTACGATTCTAATTATGTGTGATCTATGGATAACTTTAAGGTTTTCCATTGGAGTGTGTCCGCATGTTATTCGTTTTTTATACACTACATATATATTTTTTTTATACATACAATACGATATATTTTTAATTTGTTTAAATACTGTGTGACAAAGCATTCATTTTACGACGAATTGTGACGAGAGAATCGATTTAGTTAGCGAGTAACTATTTGTTGAATCTAAATTTTTGATTTTGATTGTAATTTTAAAGGATTTATTTTTAAACCAACTATCAAATCTTACCAACTAAACTACCTTCGAGTTAAGGTCTAAGTTAAACGAAGGAGCAGCGAAGGCAAATTTTAATTGCATTTTAGTTTTAATTGTATTATTTACATAATATTGTGAAATGCTTTATGTGAGAGAACCCTTTAGAACCCTACTGCCCCCTTTATTGGCTTCCAATGCTGAAAATGCGCAAAAATCTAACCGATCCGTGTATATTTTTAATTGTTTGTGTTTGAGTATGAGTTTTGAGTTTTGAGTTTGAGAGTCCAGGGCACAGTTTGCAATGCATTTCAAATGCGACAAATGCGATTGCCTTTAGTCAGTTTTTATGGAGAAGCACGAGGAGAACACGAAATACATATGTACATTATATATGAGTAACAAGAGCATAATATTTTTTCTACACAACCATAAAACACTACACTATACACTATATCCTACACTATGCTACACTAAGCTTTGTACCGTGAACCGTAAGAATTTTATAAGACTTAAGTACAGACCGCCCAAAAATAAAACCACCCAAACAAATAAATAAATAATTCAAGAACTATTTTTAAACATTTACATGCCAAGAGGCAGGGCAGACGATTGTGTATTTGATATTGATATCCTAATCTGTGTAACGTAAAGTTTTAAATTTTTAATCGTAAAACTAACGCACACAAGAACACACACACACATTCCCCAAAAAGAAACACAGATACACCCGAGCGCACTTCTATGTACTAGATATGTACATATGTACAACTACTATGTTACGTGTATTGTGCAATGCTCGTTTAGAAACAAAGTTGATATTGGGAAATGTATTCAATGTATTTAAATGTTGACATTGTGTTTTAAATGTTATTTCAAAAGCGCTAATTGTGTGTCCAATTTGGAAATATATTTGTGGGAAACAACTAAAGAACTATTCTTGTCAAAATGGCCAATAAAGATTTGATTTTAAAACTAAAAAATAAAGTTTATTTTATTAATCCATAAAGTTTATTCCGAAAGTTTACATATTTTTAAATGCCAACGAATCACTGTGTATGCCAGAGAAGCAGATGTATTCCTTATTAGTTCTTGGTGGAACAACACTTATCCTTGGGTCCGTTCTTGCAGGCGCACTGGCACTGCTGGCTGCAGGCGCAGTTGTCGCCGCACTTGGTGGCCGAGCACTGGCAGTCTGTGGATCAGATCAATGGTTTACTATTTAGACATTCACTCACCGTTTTTATGTATAAAAACTTACTTGTTCCGCAAGCCTTGCAACCCATTTTTGTTTTTGGAATTAGTTTTTGTAAGATTCAGAAACGGAGTTTATTGCCTTTGCTGCTAGCAAACGATTTCTGATGCATCCAGAGGAGAGACTCTACCGTTTTATAGCCCTGCAAGTGTGTGTTTGACTTTGCACACCACCAGAAGGGAACTCCGGTCGATGTGTTCCTCCTATGTGGGCTTATCAGGGGGCGTGCGCAAAGCGGCTTTATCTCTCTGTGGGCAAAGAAACGCGTACATTTTTTGCGCACGCTGAACGAGTGAAACTGCACACGACTTCCTTATCTAATCAGCAGTGAAACTATGGAAACATACAATTCCAATAGCCCCAGACTGGGTATAAAAGCAAGCATTCTTCAGACAAACGGAATCAAACAGTTCCAACGGTTTCACCAGTCGTAGTGTTCAACAGTCAAATTTAAAAAAAAAAACCAACAAGATGCCTTGCAAAGGATGCGGAAACAGTGAGTAAAAAATTCTACACTATTAAAACTTAATTCTAATAATTCGAATTCTTCACTTACAGACTGCCAGTGCACATCGGGCCAGTGCGGAAGTACCTGTGCCGGTAACACCCAGTGCCAATGCGCCGCCAAAACAGGAGCCAAGTGCTGCAAGGCCAAGTGATTGTGCGGTCACTTGTAATATGAATAGTACTTAATTAGTTCCACAATCTCCGACTGATCCTAATGCAAATCTGAAGCTAAATAAAACAAACATTATGTTATAGTTCAATTAAATACAATGAATTATTCTTTGGAATTAGAAATGGCGCTTAAATGAACACCTTATACAAAAATATTGTACATGAAGGTGCATACATGTAGTTCTTGCACCGCCAGCTGGAATATAAATATCCCTTAAATGTCCCAACCTATGTTTATATCTGGTACTCAGAGAATATAGGGACAGGTTAGACTTTGGTAAACATATGTAACAGCCAGAAGAAAGCGTTTCTCGCTCCATGAATTATTCTTTGGAATTAGAAATGGGGTTTAATATATATATTGTAATCTACATAAAATAAATAAGAACAAATGAAATAGAAATACCTTGTAACGATTCTTGATTAGGATAGAGCTTAGACGATATAGCCCTGTCCGTCTATCTGCCAGAACCAACGTAGAATAGGATCAATACTGTATAACATACAGCAGGCATATTACTACAAGGCCTTGGTGCGCTTAGACTATATATGTAGGCGGTTTAGGATTTTTATGTATCTTCTATATTTAGTAGGGACTACTCGTACCTTATTAGAAAATTAAACGTCATACACGTTTCGAATCATATTCGAGAATTTTGTATGGGTCGTAAATCTTTCTGTTAATTTATGAATTTTTAATAATAGTAAGATAATTTTTATAATGAATAATTTTTTTAATTTGAGTAGAAGAATCTCAAGCGTTGCTCACATATTTGTATGACGTTCTTTATAAAGAATTAAATTCCAGGTCCACTCTTGCCATAAGTTTGTAATCTTTGGGGTTTATTTAATTTACATCCTGGCAAAACAACATTTTCTCAAGTGTGTTGGTGTCTGGGTGTGTGTGTGAGGGGTTAGGTGAAGGACCATCAGTAGTCAGAAGGGCACTCGAGTCGCCGCAGTCTTTAAATGTGCAACTTGGAGAGGCGAGTGAGCAACGCATGCATGTCTGAGTGCCGTGTGGCACTCTGTCTGTCCTTGCCAGAGTCCTTTAGGATGCGTGCCCTGAGCGGGTCTGACAAGCAGACAGGCAGGCCAAAAGCCAAACAGATTGGCAGCCGAGGCCGTCAGGTTGTCAATTCGCATCCGAAAGATGCATTAAGCGCGCTAATTGCAGTTGACAATTTTATTTCATACGCAGCCAATTGAGTATTTCTCTCCTGTTCCTGCTACTGTTCCTGTTCTGGTTCCTGTTGTGCTGTTGTTGTGGCAGTCGGTGCGGGCTTGCGAGTGGGAATGGGGGGATGTCTGTTATTGCTTCTAGTTTGTAGCCTTGTAGCTTAGCACTTGGCCGAAATTTCAATTTCAGCGCTTTTAATGACGTTAAGCGGCGGAAATGGAATCGCGCCTGCTAACTGCCTTTTTGCGCCAAGTCATCAAACTTAATTTGTAGGGAAGTTGGGAGCTCAAATGTTTTTACAGCCATTTCCTGTTGAGGGAGGCAGTCAAAATGCCAGACAGCCCCCGACACCGACACTAGACCCAATCGCAATGCCAATCAGAGCCGTTCCATTGCCTGCCGTTGGCTATATTTGAGTTTGTTTTTGTGTCACGGCTTTTTGTGAGAAACATGCTGATAAAGTGACACACGTTCCCAGCCGAAGGTTGCACTTGAATATGTCCGACTACAGGATGTCCAAATTGGTCACGCGAGGCTCTTAAATCTGGGCTCAAGACATCACGGCGTATACGCGATTTCAAGCTGCCAGCTGAGCTGCCGTCGCCTCAAAGCGCAAACGCAAACAGTTAATTATGTCATTAAGTTTTCATGTCACAGAAGCGGAACGAAGTGCGACGAAGCGGAACGGAAACAACTGCAATGCGGACACTTCGTGAGGACTTTGTCGCCAGGCCAGGCGCCAGGAACCAGGCACCAGGGCTATGCTCCGTGCAACAGAGTGGGGCAACAGCGGCATCACTTATGCATAAGAACATTTTAACTTTTCGTTAGCCACTTTTGAATGGACTTGGTACTGGGGGATGGAGAGATGGGGGGCAACGTTCAAGGATGCCTCTCGTGTTTATCTTTTGCGTGTGAATTTCGCCTCCTGGCAATGTAAAGTTTTTCTGCGGCGAAATCAAATTATCACCACAATGCTTCTCACACACAGACAGACATAGATCGAAAGAACTTTTGGCAAAGAACGCAACATAAATTAATGAAATGCACAAAAACTGCGAATGTATTGCCAGGAAGAGTCACTCTCTCATCCCGTCCCGATCCCAAGGCCTGTGTTGTGCCGCAAATATTCTTAATAATTTATTGCAATTTGTTTGCTAAGCGCTTCAGAACTTGCTGAACTTTTCAACATAAATTAACAGATTAGTTGGCTGCCGTCGCGCCGTGTGGCACACTACAAAAAAGCCCCAAAACCAACTTTCAGCAGGTGCCAAAACAGGAGCAAAAGAAAAACAACCTAAAGAGAGCGACGACGACGACGACGATACACACGGGTTACAGCTGCTCTGAAGCTTCGTTAATTTCTGGGAATGTGGCCATCGACAAAGTTTTTAACCAGCACGCACTGTGGTCTGTCGACCAGGGCCCAACGCTTTTGGCCACTATAAATCTTTAGCCATTTTGGGGCAGCATCCTGTGGGTCCTGTGGGCTGTTAAATCTATGGGGAGTGGCGTTTTGCCAGCAGCAAACGTGACTTGTAAAGTTTTACACATTTCGCATAAAATATTCAGTTTTAATCTGTTTTGTTTGCAATGCACTTGACAGACAGAAAAGTACTGGTTTAAATTTTTGTGGCTGTCCAGGAATCATAGCCCGGTCAGAGTTCAATTAGTTTTAAGTGATTGCTTTCTGACTTATTGAAGCTCAAATTACGAGTATGGATATTTCCCAGGAAATTGAAGAAATCACTGTAATCGACCAATAAGAAATTATCTTGAATTTTGCGCAATTTGTTCTTTAAACGTGTCGCACGCAGGAAAATTAAAACTGTCAACTGCGACATTGATTTCGATTTGTGGCACACATCGAGTAGTCCCAGGTGCGTAATCAGACACGCCCACAGAGAGAGGGGCAGCTGGGTGGTCTGTCTGGGTGTTTATCAATCGCTTGGGCGACACACATTTAACACGAAACTCATTTTGCTTTCGTTTCGTTTTCAGTTTTCGATTTGCCGCTGATTTCCCCAAGCACTTTAAAGCCCCCGACGTGCGGGTGAATGTGTCACAACGTGATGGCCATAACTATGGCCCAGGAATGGCATTCGCTTTGGGCCATCGCTGACAAACACATTAGGCAGCACATCCTGCGATTGTGGCGAAGCGGAAGTGCTTCCTGCTCGGACCCTGGACTATCCGCTCTTGGACCATCCCTTTGTTGACAGCCATTTCATATGCACGAATGCACCATTAGACGATGTCACACATAGCAAAGACAAAGGCAAGGAAGGACCTAAGCCAACGCCCCGTATCACGGCATTCAGGCTTCTTGTCCGCCTGTCACTCCTTCGAGCAAGCAAACAAAATTACAGTTTTGTCCTGGTTGGCCATTAGATTTATTATAAAACTTTAATGCAGTTCCAGAGCGGATGCCCATCTACCACCCCCACCCCCACTCCCACCCCAGTTCCACTTCTAGTCTCAGTCCCAGTCTCAGTCTCCTCCTGCCATTCCACTGTCCTCTAGGGTGTGTGTGTGTGTGTGTGTGTGTGTGTGTGTTAATGCTGTAATGCTGTTAATTAAGTGAACATGGCCAGCACAGATGACTTGGCAGCTGTCCGGCATGTATCCTGTCGCCCAGCTGCATGTTCCCCGTCCCCATTTCTGTTAGTTGCAACAAACTGGGCGGGGAAGGGGAAAAAAATGCAAAATGTCAGCGACAATTGTAAAGAATTTCGCTCAGTATGCCAGGGCCAACCTCCGGAGCATTGGCCACTCTCTATCTCCAGTCCTCATTAGCTAACTGGGCACGTCCTCAAATCAATTTGGGACTCCACGTCCTGGACTTCTTCCCCTAGCAATGCCAAAAACAATCATACGACGCGTTGTCCAAATGGCAATCAAAGTCAAATGTTCTTGGAGCTGCAGCTCTAACCACAGGGATTTCAGGGGAATGTTTTAATAAGCAATGCAGGAGGATGCCATGAGAATGGAATATGGAATGCTTTGCTTCCAGGATGGCTGCATCTTCGGTTAGTAGAGTGAAATGCAGTTTTTTCCCTGAACCTCTCTGGCACACACTCAGCTGATGCTTATCCTATGGATGAGCTCTGGCAACCGCTCTGATAAGTGCACTTCATGATGTTCAAATTATATGGCTGCCATCAGCATTACCCACACACCTAACACCCACACCCTCGCCCAGCACACAGACACACATTGTTGCATAGAC